AAAATTATATTTTTAATTTGTGATATTAATAAAATTCATTGATTTTTTATCACATGTATTAACAAACACTCAACTTATAAACATCAGACAATTACGTAGTACAATGAAGGATAGCAGTCTTCTAAACAATAAATGTATATTAAATGATAAAATGTGTCTTTGTAAAAAAATATGTATATTTAGGACTTACTGGTAATTCATGAAGCCAGTGTAAGGATTTCCTTTCGTTAGAATTATCGCCAAATTGTCGATTCTTCCGGTCTCAATATATACGATTCTACACCGTATATAAATGTTAATAGCCTCTTTAAATATCTCCGTCGTGTAAAACGCTAACTTGTTTCTCTCGCAGAGCTGCGTAAGAATTGACATGAGAATGGACGACTTAACGAAACTTAACGTCGTTGATTTCATTATAATTAAGTAATATCGCTAACTTTCTCGAATCCCTCCGTCGTTGACAGCGGCAAATACTTTTCTTCTAACAATTCGTACATTTGCAGGAAAACGGGATCCTTGACGTGCTGCAAAATTGCATAGAAAGCATAATTGGAAGAAAAAGATTTTTTTTCCAGTTAAGGTAAAAGGTGCCAATACCCGGCCATATGTATCTATATCTGGACACCTTTATTATTTATATAAGTATAATAACGCGAATTAAAATCAAAGATAAAAATATTTTTTCTTGTAGTTTGAAAATTTTGTTATACTATCCAAACGTTTTTTTCCATTTTATATATTTTCAAAGGTATCCAGACATAGGTATGTGTCCAGGTATTGATACACGTATTATACTTTTAAGCGTCCGGGTATTGGTACCTTTACCTTATAATAAGAATATGATCTCTTCTTTACGAACTTTTGTTAGTAATACTTACATTACACAAGAATAGATACAAAGAAAATTTAAGAACAATATATATTCTCTACAAAATTATTTCTTTAACGTTTAAAATTACTTTTTCTACAAAAAAATTACTAAACTTATACTTGTATATGTCATGGAAAATATTAATTTTATAATGCTTTTAAAATTTTCTCGGCTACAAAACTGTGCTTTTATTTGCGATCGAGCGCTTCAATCGAAATTACTATAACTGAAAAATTACTGTTGCGCAAGAATATAATTTCTGCGCTTTATAAGTAACGGCGAACTCACAGTAGGAACGTCATACTCGGCGCTATTTCGCAACACAATTAATTTGTAAGAGCCATCCTTAACGTAACCCTCCAAAGTGGAAAAAGGCAGTTTGGGCGTACAGAGCGCTAGGAAGCTGATCAACGAGGCGGAATAGATGGCCAGAATTACTATCGACGAAGCAGAAATCGAGAGAAAAGCCAGTCTCACCGGTGACTCGCTGGGAAATTCTTTGCATAAAATATACATGTGCATTATATTATGGTGCAAATTATACATATATATGTTTATATATACATACATACATACATATATATATATATGTGTGTGTGTGTGTGTGTGTGTGTGTGTGTGTGTGTGTGTGTGTGTGTGTGTGTGTGTGTGTGTGTGTGTGTGTGTGTATACATGGCATATATATAGACATATATTAGCATATATTAACACATATCTATACATTAATTGTTTAAAACGTGACTAATAATACAAAAAAATATTATGCTAGACAAATATTAAATATCTCTAGTAACGATAAAACGTTACCTGGCAAACCCTGCTGGCAATAAATACCCCAAACCTTAATATAGTTCTCGACCATTAGGTTCATCGAAAGGTATCCTTTTGTCTTCATGATAGTCAACAGAATAGAAGCGGTTATTATTGTCATTAATAATGTTATCCAAGTTCCAGAGCTGAATGCCTGGAATATTTATTGGTGAGGAAAAGCAGCATTTTAATCCACTAGACTTTGTTACCGTGAATCTTTAGCATAAATTATCTTAACACTATTTCTTTTCCCAAGATGTGATTAAACAATCTTAAGTAATTGTATTTTAAATTTACAAATAAACAGGATGATTAGATCTTTACGCAGTTTTAAAATTCTATCATTGCATAATTCTATCATTGTTATAAACGTTCTATTATTGTAACCAATATAATTAATATATATGTAATATATTAATTGATCCATACCAACTATTATAATGCACTTAATACTAATAATGTACAAGTACCGTTGATATAAAGATAATTATTACTTTTAAGTATAAAGACCATTCCACCAAAGCTGTGTTAGGCTCCTTAAAATAAAGGCGGTATCGCGAGCGTATCAATGGTATCGTATAGTCGATAACGTCTTGTCTGTGACTCATCATCGTGAATGCGGAGATGCCGATATCAGCTTCGTTGGCCACCAACTGGCCGATCGCACCTGTCCACACCTTCTTCTCTTTGCTCCAGGTACCGAATCCCTCCACCGGATCCAGAATCTCCACCGTGAAGTTCATCACTTTGCTGAGCTCTATCAGCAACAGACCGAAAAACCCGCCGACCGTACCGTTCTCGTGCGAGATCAGCGGCGAGTTCTTCATGCATATATCAACAGAATTGTCAAGTCAATTTACGCGAGTCTACGGATCTATAAATCATCGTCAAGAATTAATAAATAATCGTTCATATCATTGTAATATCGATTTCGTGGCAAATTGCGAGATAATTTTCTTTCAAGGCGACTATTTTCTAGAAGGTCCTCGCTCACGACCATTTTCCGATTCGCAAAAGAAGCAACGCACAACGGAGCTCGACAAAGAGCAAAACACTTACGATCACGGACGTAACGCGTACAACTTCGCCGAACATGTCGCTCCTTCTAGCGTAGAGGGACTTTCGCGTCCTTAAAAGTAAACCTCTATCGGGGGACCACAAGGCCAGGTCGAACGTTCTGGTGCGATTATCGCGAATGGCGTACCACTCGACTAGAATCGGGCGAGCGTAGCAGAGAACCAGCATCTGGGTGCTGAAGTCCACGTTGAATACGTTTTCGGTAGGATGTCTGCAGCGCTCCTCGAGAGGATTCCCAGGACGCTGAAGAAACATAACGAGCCAAATGGGAAAAGAGATGGGCTTTATGCTCCTCGTGGTCTCGGCGAACTCGCCCATGGTATCCTCGGTGTCGAGAAGAACGACAAACAACGGCTGTGTGACGTTCTTCCAGTACTCGTTGTACTCACTCCTCAGGTCCGAGAAAGTTATGGTCACGGTCATGACTCGGTGTCGTGAGAATTCGCGCGACCACGTGTACACCAATGTCGTCGTGTTCAAATCTGCAATATTCACATTAAAATGGTATTATATTTTACTTGTTGTCAGAATTAAATGCTCTCTAAATCATAACTGCATTTAATTTCTTCAAGGATAAAAGTTAGAAAAAAGTGACTTAATTTTTTTTATTTAATTACATTTTATTCAATTTAAATTCGTAACAATTAGATAAAAAAGAAAATGATTTTTTAAATCGTATATAATAGAAATGAAATAAATTTGCACGTGAAATAATGATTCAACATTTGTTCGAAAATTCGCTGAAATGCAGTGAGAAAAATGATAACCGGAAACTGTTTCCGATATCTACTCACCGTAATTATCAGATCGTACGAAAATAACACACGACGTGCGATAATATCTGTGGACGTCGTTGATCAGTCGGAAATAATTGCTAATGCCTATACTCTCTGTCAGCAATTTGGTGCTCAACATAAGGAAAAATATTGCGATCAATCGTGCTGTCGCGTATGTCATTTTGCGAAATGTAGATTAAACGGCTACTGTGTAAAAAATAAAATTTGATTTCACGCAGTTAGACACTATTGCAATAAATAATTAACGTTTAATTCGGAATAATTATTTCTCTTATGAACTAAAACGAACAGATAAAACTATAGAGAGACATAAGAAATCGGAATCCTAAATCCTACTAAAGACAATAGTGAATCGCGGAGTTCTTTATCGAAAAACCTCACAGCGGCTATTACTGTTTGAGAGTTAGAAACTTTTTTAAGGGTATTGCGATTCTTTCAAGGGCGAAACCGTGACTGAAGGGCGATCATCACATAGAAGAATTTATCGGATTTCAAGATCTAGGACTGTGCGCGAAAGAGTGTCACTGATTAATGTGATTTTTATCGGCGAATCATCAGCCAAACCGATGAATTATTCGCCATGGTTAAGCTCGCCGTAACTGACATTATACTTATCCGCGCATCGTCCACTTTGCTACTATTTCAAGTATATCGACGTATCTTATTAGTTTTCAATTCGATGCATAAAGACATAAAGATCAATGAATTTATTAAATGTGCATGTCTCGCAAAAGAGATGTAGTGTTGAGCATGAAAGAAATCTTCTTGATATCCTTGATAATTTAATTATTTAAATATATTGTTTAATTTGATTTCTTATGTCGAATACCTTGAATGATTGTCAACAAAAATTGAACTTTGACTTTCAAAAAAAATTCTAAAACTGAAATTTTGTTTTCTTCTCTCGCTAGAAAAATGTTTTAAATTTTTATCTTATTTTAGTGTTATCACGTAAACATATATATATCACAATATAATAATTTAAATTTATCTATGTACTATAATCACTAGGCTTAAAAAATTCAAAGTTGTTAAAAATATTAATATTTAAATAATATTTCAAAAATTATTCAAGATCGCCAACGCAAGACTCGTATGCCAGACATCTTTCCCATTTTATCTTTGGCAGAGTTAAATACATTTGAAAATATCGACGACATGTTTAATATGTTTAATTTTTAATACTTTTGTTAGAAGTAAATTATTTTGCGCTCACAAGGAGCCATGCGGCGTCCCCTTCTGAGCAAAATCCTCTCGGTGGTTTGCCATTGAATTCTGAGAGACCAGATCGAATAAAAACCGATGATTTTTGGTCGGATTTGAACTCGCACCTTCAGATGCACATCTCTCTGCGTCACGATTGTCACATTAATATTTAAATGTCTATTGCGATCTTAAAAAGCAACACACAATACATATTGTATACGATAATTGGCGTAAAGAAAATTTTA